ACTAGATTCTGTTCCGAAATATCACTTACTCGAACCGTCCTGACCGCGTAGCTCAGTTGGAAGAGCATTGGGCTAGTATTCCAAAGGTTGTAGGTTCGAATCCCACCGTGGCCGGGCATATTTTTCAAGCTCGCCCGGTGTGGATATGCACTCACTCCACTCAGAGTAACATCGCAAACATATTATTCACCTGAGTACACAACACCAACACAGAAAAATTCATATTACTAGAACACATTGGTATTGAAGGAACTAGATAATGTTCCGAAATATCACTTACTCGAACCGTCCTGACCGCGTAGCTCAGTTGGAAGAGCATTGGGCTAGTATTCCAAAGGTCGTAGGTTCGAATCCCACCGTGGCCGGGCATATTTTTCAAGCTCGCCCGGTGTGGATATGCACTCCGTATATGTGGATATCGCAAACATATTATTCACCTGAGTACACAACACCAACACAGAAAAATTGATGTATAATTCTTTCTCTTTTTGTAAATACACAGGAAACTTTTCAACGCATGAAATACAAAATGATATTTTTTAATCTTACTCAATACAGGATTTAAAATGCCGTTCGGCCGGTTGGGGAGGGGGGAGGGTGGTCAAGTGGCCCCGCTCCAATAATATGCCACGGGCCCCGCGGAACGTTAATCCGGCCCTGAGTCAGTCTGTTTCGTATTTGTTGTCAAACTGCATGTCTATAGTGCCAAAAATTGACGAAATTTCCTTCTTTTTAAAACAATTAAAACAGTTTTAAGTCACAAAACCAAGATTATCCCTCTGTGAATAGTCGACGTGCGAATAGGGATCCAAATTTTTTATCAAGAATTAAGATCAGGAAAAATCACAACCTCGTACCCAGGGTTCTCTTTGTGCTGGAAAATCACCGCTTAAGGTTTCAACAACAAATGAGAACAACGATCAATGGCCCTGTAAGAAATCAACGACAAAATTTAATGACCGGGAATATGCGAAACGACAGTTACTTTCCAGCAAATCGTACAATGGATCATGCGAAGTCATATCGAACCAAACAAGGACAAACAATACATCGATCACGTACAGCAGGAACAGTTTTGGATGGAGTACCTTCAGTACGTACACTACGCCACGAAAACAAGATCAACTTTGGTTTCACTGCTCAGGATCTCCCGTAATCGCCTGTGACTTTTGAGTCTGCCGCAGGAGAGAGAGCTGGCCTCTCGCAGGATGAGATCAAAGGGAATGCAGCGGAGGCCGATGGCAAAAACATTGGTGAATCGATCCTGAAGACAAAGAGGCCCTGCTTCGTTCCTTCGTATTTGTTGTCAAACTGCATGTCTATAGTGCCAAAAATTGACGAAATTTCCTTCTTTTTAAAACAACATGATACAAAAATCGCGATGTTTGTGAAACTTGGTTTATAAGAAGTTCAATTCCCCACGCATGCACCAATAGAAATCAAGGATAACCGCCTTTTTAGACGTGATCGCAAAATACGAGCACATGGAGGAGTCTGCATATATGTAAAAGAATCAATATAGAATCTAAAATGCTGTCGGAATTTGACAATGACGAATATGTTACGCCCTAAGCGTTTACCGCGCGGGTTTTCGAAAAGGCATTGTCTCTTGTTTATTTCCAACAAAAAATCCTCCCTTTGGGTTGTCAGATCATATAACTATTACTGTATTTCCAAAAATACGTGGAAGTTCGGAAAAAAAACAAAGGAAGACTATCAGAATTAGTCCAAGGAAACGCAGCATGCACAATCGCAAGTCTCGGCTGATTCTTCATGGAGATCCTGTGGACTAGCCTGTTGTTTAACGGACGATTATACGCCGTTATCGGAGGACGTATGCGTGCTGACGAATCATGATGAACCTATTGTAGTCGACCAGGAGTCAATCTCAAAAAAAAACGTATCAAGAGCAGGAGGTCCTGACGGTATACGTATACCTAATTGGGTTTTAAAAACATTCTTTGATATGTTATCCCCAGCCGTCACAAACATAATTAATGCTGGCCCATGTTACTCCCTTACCAAAAACAGTTTACATTGAAGACTTCAACAAAGACTTAAGGCCAATCTCCTTAAATTAACACTAACTTATCCAAGATTGCTGAGTCATGTATCATCGAGCAGGAAATAAGACCTATACGCTGCTGGAAGCAATGGATCCAAAACAATTTGGTTTGGTGCCCAATTCATGTACTACATTTTCTTTAATGTCGATGTTACATCGCTGGTTTGAAAACACGGATGGTACTGGTTTGCGCGTCAGGGTTGCACTTCTGGATTACAAAAAAGAGTTTGACTTAGTGGACCACAATATTTTAATTGCCAAAGTTTTTAGCCTTGGAGTCAAACCGACAGTTGTAAATTGGATTGCTGACTTTCTACGTGGCAGATCACAGCGTCTAAAGCTTAATTCTGACTGCTTTTCAAATTTCCTTGGCTATTTTTGATTATCAGTGACATAGCGATCCATGGTAACTCCTCTAACTTGTGGAAATTTGCAGACGACACCACAGTTTCCGAAATAATCTCAATCAAGTGGACTACAGGAACAGGTGGATCAGATAAATTGCTGGTCGAACGAAAATAATTTCCAGTTAAATTCTTAGAAATGTAAAGAGCTCCGTATTGACTTTAGTAGACATCGACATACAGACGACACAATAACTGTAAATGACCAAGCTTTTGAAGTCGTCCAATCTACCAAAATGCTTGGTATAACTATTAGACAAGATCTTAAATGGAATGATCATGTAACTGAGATTACCCACAAGGCATCAAAGCAGCTATATCTTCTAAGAATATAAAGAATAGCAGGTGTGGACGTAAATTCTTTAGTGCAGTTCTCAAGGGTGGGTAGTAGCGAAGCACCCGTTCAGCATACACCTCAACGGGTATTACCCATATGTTCTCAATTGAGAAACATCGGTACTATATCTATGGTATTACCCGTGCCAGACTATCGCCTGCGCTACCTGACGCTGACGCTTTCGCATATCATTATATATAAACCAATCACAATCGTCTTTCTATCACACGTTCTTCTCGAGCTTTGAGCTGCCATATTTGAAAACATTTCTAGCAGATTTTCTAGTCTATTTGCGATTCTGTGCAATGAAATGAAGATAGGAAAGAGAACTAGAATAAGCGACAACCAGAGAGATATTTTGGAAAGGTTTTACGGCCGTGGAATGGTCGGTGTTGGTCTAAATTATCGCGAAATGATCGAAAGCGCTGTAGCAGAAACTGGCTTAACAACGACTCAAGTTATAAAGGTAAATATAGATATCATAGTGATGTTAATGTTGACTATTTACTATTAAAGACACTAGATGACATACAAAAATATACTAATATAAACTAGTATCAGGCCTTGCTTGGATGAAAACCAAAATACTTGATCAATAGTGCAGCTATACTGTGCATTCAAGGCACTATTTTCTATGCACCTACTTAAGCGAGAGTCTACTTCGTATATTGTTATTACATGCCTAGTTGACAATCTGAACTTACTGTAACATGCATGTTTCCCCATTGATGAGTGAAATTGTCTGGTGTAGTAGGGGCACTGGGGCACATTACGTCTCAATGGCTTTAATGCACCTATCAATGTTAAACCCCAAAGGGGGGGGGGGGGGCATTTGATTATTTGAGCAAATTTTCAATCAAATGCCCCACCGTCGGGAAATATATCTTGGTCAAATGCCCCACCATCTTGCAATAAATTGCAATAAATACTATGGGCCAAAATGCTAATCAAAATCCCCAGGGTGGGAATGGAATTGATAATCAAATACCCCACATATGCCCGAAACCCCCCCCCCCCTCTGGGGCTTAACATTGATAGGTGCATAATAACTAGAGACATTGTCAGATTTTTTGGTTAACCCCTTAAAGTGCAGAGCTTCCTCATTGGCATTAGACAAGCAAAAAAAGTAGGGTGCACTGGGACGCATTGCGGCTTAATGAGTTAATAGGCATGCACACATGATCAAGCGCCTTCCTAGGCTAGACCTAACAACCCTCCAATGGTAATCTAGGCATGTCATATCGTTGATCTAACACCCTCCAATGGTAATCTAGGCATGTCATATCATTGATCTAACACCCTCCAATGGTAATCTAGGCATGTCATATCATTGATCTAACACGCTCCAATGGTAATCTAGGCATGTCTTATTATTGATCTAACACCCTCCAATGGTAATCTTGGCATGTTTGATCATAATTGATTTAGCAATCCCTAACACTGATCTACGCATGTCATTTCATTGATCTAACACCCTCTACTGGTAATCTAGGCATGTCTTATTATTGATGTAACACCCTCTAATGGTAATCTAGGCATGTCTGATCATAACTGATTTAGCAACCCCTATTAAACACTGATGTACGCATGTCATGTCATTGATATGGTAATCTAGGCATGTCTTATTATTGATCTAACACCCTCCAATGCTAATCTAGGCATGTGTGATCATAACTGATTTAGCAATCCCTATCACTGATCTACGTATGCTATGTCATTGATCTAACAACCCTCCAATGGTGATCTAGGCATGTCATATCATTGATCTAACACCCATCAATGGTAATCTAGGCATGTCTTATTATTGATCTAACACCCTCTAATGCTAATCTAGGCATGTCTGATCATAATTCATTTAGCAACCCCAAACACTAATCTAAGCATGTCATTTCATTGATCTAACACCCCCTACTGGTAATATAGGCATGTCTTATTATTGATCTAACACCCTCTAATGGCAATCTAGGCATGTCTTATTATTGATCTAACACACTCCAAAGGTAATCTAGGCACGTCTGATCATAATTGATTTAGCAGTCCCAAACACTGATCTAAGTATGTCATTTCATTGATCTAACAACCCTCCAATGGTAATACAGGCATGTCATACCATTGATCTAACACCCTCCAATGGTAATCTAAGCATGTCTGATCGTAACTGATTTAGCAACCCCTAACACTGATCTACGTACTAGTCATTTCATTGATCTGACAATCCTCCAATGGTAATATAGGCATGTCTTACCATTGATCAAACACCCTCCAATGGTAATCTCAAACTGAGCATGTCTGATCATAACTGATTTTGCAACCCCTAACACTGATGTACGC